CATGGTGAGCCGTAGGAAGACATGGCCCATTGTGAGTACTAAAAGAACACTGACTAATAGCTACATTTTTCATTACAAAGTGAGTATAATTAGGCCAGTTAAATTGGCTTTAGTGCCACTCGTGAACATATGAATAAAAATCAATGTAGTTGTAGGTTTTATTACGGTGTGGAAAAGGGGATTAAGCTGAACTTGGCTTCTTGTTTTGCTGATTAAAATTTGGCATTCCATCTTAAATGGTGCCTCAGTTACTTTAAGGTAAATGCTGTATCATTTAAGGGGGAACACAAAAATTCAAAGTTGAATAGGAAGCTGGCAAATATGAAGCCAACTTCTGGCTCGTGAAAAGAGCAACACGATAGCATCCAGCTGATACGGAATTAAAACTTCATTCGTTCATCTTCTAAGCCGCTTATCCTCGTGGGTCACTGGAGCCTATCCCAGCAGTCATTGGGTGGAAGGCAGAAAACACAGGCCAGCAGTCCCAAGCAGACACACAAACCTACACATTCACACACAGTCCTAGGGCCAATTTAGCATGTGTTTGGACTGCGGGAGGAAACCCACGCAGACTGTTGGTAAGATATGTTGAAACATTAGTCCACTGTTATCATTGAGGTATTACGTGGTACAATCTGTCAATTTTAAATCATATTACTGTAATCTCTAGGTAATGGTAAAAACTATGTTTTGGGTGTCTTAATATCTGTTACACACCTTTATCACTGGCTCTGTCACTGTTTTGGTTAAAATTAAGTAGAATCAAGGAGTCGACTCCCAACTGTTTGAGTGGCAGAAGTCGAGAGCCGAAGTTGTGCATCACTGATATCGTAGCATTTGTCGCAGCCTTCTAAATGCTTTGTTATGTTTAAGAGGTGTCACAGCCAAACTGGAGCTTTTCTTCAGCCTCAGAGCTGCTCGACTGACTAACGGGGAGGCTGTGAACGGCTGTTTCTGGGCTTTGAAATCAGCAAGGCAGTAGAAGTCCATGCCCTCTAGAGCAGGATTTAAAGGTCTCCTATAGGGAAATGGACTCTGTTAATACACCAAGGCCGCACGGATTTAGAATACCAACGACGCTGCGCTGTGGAGAGACCTGTTAGCGAGCGTAAGCACCAACAGAATTGAACCGTCTCTCGAACGCACCCAGAAAGACAGTCCTGATGGGGAGGGCTGCATTTCATCATATTGTCACATTTCATATTTCATCTTTTATGAAATGGCGCATTTATCTGCGTACACACAAATACGCACTAGAGGTGAATAATAACCCACTACATGATGACTGTATAACAGCTTGCTTCTTAATGAAATATGTTGATTAAATCTTAATCTCACCGCTTCTTAATCATCTGCTAAAGGATTGCTTCACAATTTTCGCACGAATGCCGAGGGGGAAGCTGGGAAAATTGTTTCCTCTCAACACAATCCCTTGACAGATCGCCTCCAGATATGAGCGGCGCATAATGCAATCTGTTCAGCTTGTCTCGCTGCCTTTCACCTCTTAGTATGAGAGTCATATAACAAGAATCTGCTGCTCTCATCCTGCTGTTTAATTTTTTATGGAGGACTACACTGGACTGGAGTGGTGTTCTGATAATGTTTTTACAAACTTTGAAATATGTTTCTTTGTAATATGTCCAGCGCCGGATGCATACTTTCCAGGTGTTTGGGATGGTTGAATGTAGCTGAAAGTGCACTTTTAGTAGAGGTCATATACAGTACCCATCTAAAAGTTTAGACATGCTCCAAAGAATGTATGTTTTTCATCATTTTGACTGTGCAGAAATGATGTGAAATTCTCTGTTCTAGAGAGACTAAGAATTGTTGACAGTGGTGGTGATGGGAACCAGATGTCTGAAGAGTTTAATGCCTCTAAAAGCGATTACATGACATGCTCACAAATACACTGACATTATTTTATGTCTTGAGATACGATTTTGGCCTAAACCTTATATTTCTTTTTATATCCATTCATAATGGAGAGGGACATGTAGGGCAGTCTAAGGCAAAACAGCATTAAGAGAAAAATATTTTAGTTTTTACCGTTATTTTACATCTGAAATATCAGAAGACGTGTCTGGGTTCACTGGTGGTTTTCTCTAGTATATAAATTGCCTATATTTGTGTTGCAGACATGTGTTGTAGACGACCCCTGGTTCCACTACTGGTCACCACTACTGTAAAGAAATCAGGGTAGTTCTGTTTCTCTACAATATTGACTTTCACATTCTGAATGAATCATGCAGAAATTTTGAAAAATGCCCTTTAAGAACTATTTAAAGCTGCTTCAACACGATATTGATTTCTAAAACAAATAATAATACACATTAAGGCTGCACAATAATACCAGATTATACAGATATTTAATTATGTATTTATTGTACTCAAAAAAGAGCAGAATGTTTTGGTAATGCTGGGCTGCTTTGCTAAAATATCTAGATTTTATTCATTTTACTGCATTTGTAACCCTACAGAAATATTGTATTGGACCTTTTCTCAGTTTCTGCATTATATAAATGCTTTATATATTGTAGTATACAGGCAGAAACATGGAAAAATATCAGATACCCGCATCAGCCCACAATTTCCATATTCATGTGTTAAAAAATATGAAACCATGAACAGTTTGAGAGCTTGAGAGCATGATAAGAGTGTGCAACGCTGCATTAAAGCAAAAGGGGCTACATCTCCAAATCTACAGAAGAATGTGGTTTTGCTTTGAAGATAAAATAGAAGATAGATTTATAACACTTTTTTGGTCACTGCATGATTCCATGTGCGTCATTTCATAGTTTTGATGTATTCACTATTATTCTGCAGTAAGAAAAAAATGAAACCTGAACTGTACACTCAATTTGACAAACTGTATGCTCACCTTCCACTTAAAGGGGAAGTACAAAATGTCTGCATGATTAAATGGTTAAGATGTTAATAGAGTCAATCAGAGAGGTTTGATTTGAAATGGTTCATTCTAGAGAAACTGACCCAGTCAGCATTGTTCACAGTGGTGATGGGAACCAGACTTCAGAAGTGTTTGATACCCCTAACGAAGGATTTTGGCCAAACCTGTAATTAGCTGAAGAGTTAAATCAAGTGTGCTCAAATAGGAAAATCACCAAACTGTGCAGGAGTCCAGCCCTTCAGGACTAGAGTTCCCCACCCCTGCTCTAAAAGTTACCTCACAGAAAGACATTAAAGAAACGTTTACCGATACGCTGCCCTGTGACTGAGACACTGAGTTAGAGGTCTGCACTCCCCCGGATTCCCGCGGGACTCGCCACAGTATCTTTTGGCGTGGGACTGGTTTTCAGCGTGGTGCGTGGGAGCGGGCAGGAAACCAGCCCACTATAGGCGGCAACAGGCCAAAGCACGCATGAAGAGAAATCCCATAAAATTAAAGACTAGCCTAAATAAAGTAGATCACTAAATAATGTACATAAACAGTATAAAATGATAACAGTAAAACAATTAAAATGAATGAAGTCGTTCTAAAGAGTTGCGAAGCAAATGATCACATGAACAACACGCAAATTTTCGTAGCTTCCAGAGACGGCGGAGCCTTCAGTCCAACGGCCGCAGCTGCCGAGCCCAGCAAAACACCAAAAATAACCATTCTGTGGTTAATTTCTGTTTGTGTTACAGGGAATAAACAGCATTTAGTGAAGTTACTTCACAGTGAGCCCGTCGACAATGACGGCCAATTATTTCAGCAGAGGATAAAGTATTTGTGAACAGACTGTCAGATATTGGATGTCAGTTCACCTTGACAGCACTACACGGGCAGGAGCGGGACAAAGGATTCTGATTTTCTGCGGGAGCAGGATGAAATCTTGCAGAAGCGGGCAGGAGGGGGACTGAAAAACAGTCCCGCGTAGACCTCTACACTGAGTGCGTTTACATGCTCTTAATAATCCCGATAACTACAGAAAATTAGATTTTGTCAATAATCTGATCAACATATTTACATGCACTTGAGTAATGAGATAATAGGAAAACTCTAGGTTTACATGAATCGGGCAGTAATCAGATTTCTGCTTTGCAACTAGCCAATAAACTCACAGAAGAAGACGCGACGTAAACATAATGTAAAACTCAAACTTCATGCTGGAGCTAAAACACTGCGACAACAACAATATGAACACACATCATTCAGAAGATGAAGAATATTTGTAAGCATTTGTATGATTTCAGTGTCGCTCCAAAAGTGTTTTGTTGTGCTGTGTTAAACGCCACTTGCTTATTTCCGGTACCGCGGTCTGTTTTCGAGCATGCGCAGACTGAGGAAATCGAAAGAAATCAGAGTAAGGGTATACATTAGCCAGCTCTCTTTATCAGATTTCTTAATCAGATTTCCAGACTATATTCTAATCTAAGAAATCAGAGTATGCTGAGGATGTTCTAAGGCAATATAGTCCCCAAAGAAACCTTTTTTCCTCAGATTTACCACTATTTTACCACCATCAACATCACATGTAAACACTCAGAAGGCCTGTGTAGGCTCACTTTTGGTTTTAGATAGTAAATAAAATGGCTATTTTTGCATTGTAGACATTGCAACCCCTGTTTTCTTATCATTTTCGTTGTAAAGAAATCGACATCAAAACTAATTCTTATTCTGAGTCTGACTGACTTTGTTCATAATCGCAATGATTGAATTGTGCAGAATTTAGGTCCACTTTATAGGTGTACAATTACAGGCTGTAGCCCTGTTCTCAAGCCAACATCTATACCTTTCCTCAGTTGTCAGATTCTGACCTCATGACCAGATATGATTTGGATGGTGGATCATCCTCAGCATAGCACACAGACACTTACATGGTAGTGTGTGTGTTGCGTGACAGCTGTGTTGAAACTGAGTTTCTACACACATCAGTATCACTGCTCGGTTAAGAGTGGCGTACTTCAACCTATGTCTGTGTTCACAAGCTCTAACGTATTGTATTTCTACTTTTACATGTCAAGTAAAATCAATCAACCAATCAATCTCTCTCCTGAAGGGGCTGGTGGCTGGTCTCCACTGGATTTAAATAAGTATCAGTGGCTGGAGATCAATCTGGAGGAGCGGACAGAGATCACGGCCGTGGCCACCCAGGGCAGGTACGGCAGCTCCGACTGGGTGACCAGCTACCTCCTCATGTTCAGCGACACGGGCCACAACTGGAGGCAGTATCGGCAGGAGGACAGCATTGGGGTAAGCAGCTTAAGCCTATTCCATCACTTTCTTCTCAATACTGGTCATGTAGAGCCTGAAATATAGTTTGACATTTTCTGAACAAGTTCAACCCAGCCCACAGCAACAAGATTAGATTTCAAATCCAACTGTAGCCTCACAAAACTCTGTCCGAACCCGACTGTAGGCCAGTAACATTCTGTAGCCTGAGAAAAATTCGGTCCAAACCTGATTGTAGCCCAACAACATTCTGTAGCCCAGCAAAATTCTGTCCACATCCAACTGTAGCTGACAAAATTATGTCAAAATGCTACTTCAGCCTGACAAATTCTGTTCACATCCAACCACAGTTGACAAAATTCTGTCTAAGTTCGACTGCAGCCCAATATATTTCTGTCCACATCCAACTATCGCTGACAAAATTGTGTCCAAATTCGACTGCAGCCCGACAAAATTCTGTCTAAATCTAAATGTAGCCAACAAAATTGTCCAAATCCAACTGTAGCCCAACTACACTCTGTCCAAATCAACTGTAGACAACAAAATTGTCCAAATCCAACTGTAGCCCAACTACACTCTGTCCAAATCTAACTGTAGACAACAAAATTGTCTAAATCTAACTGTAGCCCGACAAAAATTCAGTCCAAATCCAACTGTAGCTGACAAAATTATGTCCAAATCCAACTGTAGCTGACAAAATTATGTCCAAATGTAACTACAGCCTGACAAAATTCTCCCCAAACTTGACAGTAGCCTGGACCCAACTGTAGCTAAAAAAAAAATTCTGTTCAAATCCAACTTTAGTCTGACAAAATTCTGTCTGTACCAGACTGTAGCCTGACACAGTTGTCTGAACATGACTGTAGCCTGACCAAATTAAACTCAGTTCTGGACTAAGTTTCAGCTTCACCAAAACTAATAGATTAATCCTTGTGCACATACACATGAAAGCATTTTATGTTTATGACAAATAGCCAATTGTGTGAAACATGAGCAGTCAAACGACTTATTTTTCAAGGGGGGGGGGGTCATACTACATAAATATGCAGAAAGTAAAGCTTTTAGAACAGTAAAAACCAACTGTTGTCCATCTGTCCCTCTGCATACTTTGCTAGCCCCTTTCTACCCTTTTTTCTTCAAATGGTCAGGTCAGCACTCCCGCAGAGCAGGTGTTCTTTGAGTGGAAGATCTCGCTCAGCACTGTGGTGACACTGACGTGGTGGTGGTGTGTTAGTGTGCACTCAGTGTCACTGCTGGACTATCAGCTGGACCAACAAGGTAGGAGTGTCTTAAAGAGTGGACAGTGAGTGGACACAGTGTTTAAGAACTCCTGCAGCACTGCTGTGTCTGATCCACTCGTACCAGCGCAGCACACACTAACACACCACCACCACGCTACATCAGTGTCACTACAGTGCTGAGAATGATCCACCACCCAAATAAAAACTGCTCTGTGGTGGTCCTGCCAGGGTCCTGACCATTGAAGAACGGGGTTAAAGGGGGTAACGAAGTATGGAGATAAACAGATGGACTACAGTCTGTAACTGTAGAACTATAAAGTGCACCTATATAGTAAGTGGAGCTGATAAAATGGACAATGAGTGTAGAAACAAGGAGGTGAACTTTATGAAGTGGCTGGTGGGTGCAGTATGAATTGTTTTCTTCTGCTGAAAAGCCACATTTTTCATGTGATTGATGGCACAAACATCACAAAGCGGTTTCTTAATCGGCCAGAAGCTCGGCCCTGATCGCTCCAAGAGCTGTTTATGATCGGACGTCCAAATTTCACCTGCTATTGAGCAGGTCAGGCATCCAGCATGGATGGCAGTATATTGATTCACTGTCATGAGATAGAAAATCCAGGGTTACATCCAGCTAAGTTCAGAGTCCAGCTTTGTGAAACAAACCCTTGAAGCCCATTTACCTTGTATATTTTGTTATTTTCCCTGCTGAAACTAATTATCAGGCCCTTCCAGAGTTGAAGTGGGTATGTAACAGTAAGGATCCACTGAAACATTCAGAACATGTGTACTCCAGGACCAGTATGGAGGAACACTGGCCTACATTAAACATTATTTTTTACTTCGCCCTGCATCGCTAAAAACATGAACACTGGCATAAAAAGATGATGAAAAGGGCCATTTTCATGAAGTGCCCATTTAAATAGGCTCTCGTGGAAAGTGGAGCCCACTCAAAAGCATTTAAAGTTGTTTCATCGCCTCCGGTAGGCTCTGCCGACTTTGACATTGACAGTAAATAAAAGTTGCCTGGAGCTGGCTTCAGGAAATGTAAATGGATGTAGCATGCGCCGCGGCGCTAAGGGAATGTTCCGGCTTTTTTTTTTTCATTACAGCTTTGGGTGGGCCGCTTCATATGAAACAGAAAACGCCACGCAGAGCACTCCTGGGTTGTTCCGACATTGAAAGGCGTAGGCCGAGTGCCTGTTTTCTCCCCTTGATCGTGCGACAAAAAAAAGTGGGCAGGAGTCATGAAAATTCTCCAGCCACGTTTTTAACTGATCCTAATTGCCGCAGTCAATCTGAGCAGATTCGCAGTCTGCCTCGCGTGCCACAAGTCATGTTTTCATCTTTGAATGAAGAGGCGCTTTGAGTCGTTTTCGTTCTCATGTGTCTCTTCCCGTCCCGAAGGCTTGCGGCAGCTAATGCTGGAGGATTTGCACTTTGACTCCCCGGCGCATTTCAGGAGGGCACTTTAAAGCAAATGAGCTGCTCTTCTCGGGCTTCCTCAGCAGGAAACAGTGCAATTTGCTCGGCTTAACGCTCCACTTCACCAGACGTCTGATCCCTTCAAAGACGCCGAAAACGCTGCTCAACCCAGAATTAGACGGCGCTAAGGAAGTTGCATTTGCGCTCAGTTCAAATACTGTATGGAATAAAATGAGCATTCCGCACCGCAAGATTAAAAAAAAGTTGGTATTCAGGCCTCAATCTTTCTTTTCTTCGTTTTTTTCTGTAAATGGCGGCCATGCCCTTAGCTGGCAAACATCAGCGGGTAACTGAGTTAAGTTGGGCCTTATTGATTTCCTTTAATACAGGCAGGTGATTGGGAATGCACAGGTCACTCTTCATGGTGGAAATGCTCGGCCTGAGTAGTGAATAGGTCCTGTGTTTATCGATCCCTGGCAGTGCTGTGAAGTTGTAATGCCTAGGTTACAGGTGAGTTTCAGTCCCAATAAGGGCTGAGCAGTGCATCAAAAGGACCCATAGTTTTTACTATGCACCAATTCAGTGTTATAGAGTCTAGGTTTGATTTATTGACTGTAGTCTTATGTATGCTTAGCATTCACCAGGTTTGGTGACAGATTCCAGGTTTGATTTATAGACTCTTGTAGTATGTATAGGCCTAAATGTACACCAGCTTTGGCCTGTAGATTCCAGCTTTGATTTCTAGACTCTAGTACAGTGGTGTCCTGGTTCTGGAGATCTGTAACCCTGCAGAGTTTAGCTCCAAACCTAATCTAACTCACCTAATCCAGGTATTGAAGACCTTCAGAGGCATATGAATATTAGAGTCAGGTGTGTTGGATCTAAACTCTCCAGGGTGGTAGATCTCAAGGACAGGATTGAGCACTCCAGCTGTAGTAGTATGTGTAGGCTAAATGTACAGTAGCTTTGGCCTATAGATTCCAGGTTTTATAAGACAGCAGTGGTATGTATGGTTAGTATACATGAGGTTTGTATATAGATTCCAGGTGTATGTATACACTGAATGTATACACCAGGTTTGATTTGTAGATCGTATTATTATTTAGAGACCATAGGATACACCATATTTACCATACATTGATTACAGGTTCGATATACACTGAATGTATGTGCCTTAGTATAGTGCTCCCCAGTCCTGGTCCTGGAGATCTACCACCCTGCATAGTTCAGCTCCGCTTCTAGTCTAACACACCTGATACAGGGAAAGAAGGCCTGTAGGCATCTGGCAGAACTGTCCCCTGCCTTAGTGTGTGTGTGTGTGTATATATACACACACACACAAGTTTATACCTATAGGTTTGAATTGTAGACTACAACATATAGCTATAGCGCTATAGCTGAGGCATCATGGTTGCGTTGTTTTTAGCAACATCAAATTTCTGCTACTGTCACTTTGTAAACCTTTACGTCTTGTGTTTTTTAGGCTTTCTCTGGGAACACCAACGCTGACAGTGTGTTGACGTACAAGCTGCAGCAGCCAGTGTTTGCTCAGTTCCTACGTGTGTTGCCTTTGGATTGGAACCCCAACGGAAGAGTCGGGTTAAGACTGGAGGCCTACGGCTGCCAATACAGTAAGCATGGCCCAGATCTATTTCACCATAACTAGAGCTGATCCAAACATCATTTCACAGGACGATTTTGGTGGTGTGGTAGTTGCAGAGCAGCTTCTGCACTGTACTAACTGAGGAGGAAACTCTTTTTTCACAGCAGTAAAACCTTGTGAAAAGAAAATCTTGTAAACAGATCTGCTGTTGATGCTGTCAAGTTTTAAACCATCTGCAAAAATGTTTAATTACAAAAGACAGAAAAAAGCTAATAGTCCTGCCTTGCAGGGTATACGTGACGGAGCTGAGTCATAGGTAGTGTAGATGGGACACGTGGTGGTCCTTGGATAAGTATTGCTTTACTTGCTTATTTGAGATGATTCATCAAACTTGTCGTCATTCCTTGGTTTACCAACCCTTATTGAAAACTTCGGCACTGAGATTTTTTTTTTAGCGTTCGATAAAAAAAAGAGATTTCTTTATGAGGCATCTTTGCTCTTTTAGCTTCCATGACTGCATGGGAAGAGGTGCAGGTTGTTGTGCTCTGGGGCAAGATAATCGAAGTAAAACATGTATTGGCTAACATTTTCCATACATTAACAATAACTGTTTAATCTAAAGGTGTTTCTTGATGACATTTTTTCTTAAGCTACAATTTTTGTGACTTTAGAAAAGATTTAAAATGCTAAATAGGGAACTGAATGCCAACATAACAGACGGATACTGGAGAATTCAAATTATTCCAGCCAGCCGTAAGGATTGCTTTACCCAGAAAAGGTAATGTTGCTTGTGGAAGCCAGTACGAATCAGTTAAAGGAATATTCTAACTTTTTTCGTTCGGATCTCTGTCTAACACATCTGTAGTATAGGGTTGATTAGGATAATACTTGTGACGTTTTTCCCTGTAATTATTAAAAGAGCACAACGCTTTTTTGCTTCAAACACTTATAAGAGAAGCTAATGGACAGGTGTTTCAGCCTCTTCAGCACCTGCTTATTGGCTTCTATTATAAGTGCTTTTCGAGTCAACAGGTTTTCTGTTCTATCTAAGTAGAGAGGAATTATTGTCTGTGGTAATTGACTATATGCTACAGATGCAGCAGTGGTCACATGTATATGAACTTGTACCTAGCTTTCACTCACTGTTATTATTTTTATTTAATGTGCTCTCTAAACAGTTCACCATGCCAGTTTATCCCATGGTTACAGCACCACATTTGAGGGAATAGCACATGCACGATGCCAGGCAGTAATGGCATTGCTGAAAACAACAGAAATTTCCACTGATTGCTCCCAAAGAGAATGTAATTTACTCTGCCGCACCGAAGGGACAATGGAATCTGATGAAGATCCAAATGAATTCCAATCTGTCTCTTTCTGTTCCCAACACGAGACCAGGCATGTGGTTAGATTTGGGTGTTTTTGACTTCTTATCGCCAAAGAACAGCTCTCCTCCACTTGACTCCTTTTAATCAGGCTGCAATTCACATGGCTGATTTATGTTTTGTTGTACACAAATACTGTATATGATTGTTTTTGTATTTTTTCTCCTCCTGTGCCACAACTGGAGGGAGATGTATTGTTGGGGAAATTAAACTGGATGGTTTCATTCTGTCTTGATACATCCAGCATTGTTAGCAGTCAGCAGAGGCGCAGGGATAGAGGCCCATAAAGATGCAGAGCAATTACTCATCTGGGTGTATTCTCACTCTCCGCCATTTCTGAAATCTGTTCTTACGCAGACACAATTCTTCCTGCATTGATTTGAATCAGTCCATTAACTGACCCTCGACGAGCTGTTCCACATCCTCTGACATAGTGCCTAAAAAAGCTTTATACAGTGAAACTTTCATGCAACTAGTTGTATGTTGTGAGTTGCATTACATAATTGCAGGGATACACGAAGCAATTCAAAATCAGTCAAACTTGCATGCAACACATTTGATTATTCCACTAGTTTTTTTATACCAGTCTCACTATGCATTTGCAGCAATTAATTGCCTTTGTATAATTTTATATACCTATATTTTATCCATCTGTATTTCAGGAATATGTATGTTTTTAATCTGTTCTGTGTATGTTTAACTTTAAAAATTAATATTTAAGTAACTATAACGGCTGTACTTGATGTCTCGCTTATCCTGTCTTGCGAGTTCATTGAAAATAAATCTGAAAGAAATCGGAGCTCTGTAAAATTAATGGGCATCAAAAGAGGAGAAAATATAGCAGGCTAAGAAAGAATAAACAGTTTGGTTACATAAACTTTAGGTTTGAGATACTTGTTAGTTTGTTGTTGTGGCTCAGGAAACTGAAAACATTTGCATGAAGTCGATCAGGAGAATCTCCGACACACTTGGAACGGTTGCAACTGAGTTTCAGGTGAGTTACAGGACACTTTACATTATGCAACTCAAATGAAATTTGGTTTCATGTGAGTTTCAAGCAACCTTAGTTGCATCGTGACATTGTGATATCTCCAGCTTTACGTATGAATCAGACACAGGAGCCTAAACGCTCAGTTTATGGGCCACAAGTGTGTTGCAGGACACTTTACATTATGCAACTCAAATGAAATTTGGTTGCACGTAAGTTTCAAGCAACTAAAGTTGCATTGTGACGTTGTGATATCTCCAGCTTTATGTATGAATCAGACACAGGAGCCTAAACGCTCAGTTTATGGGCCACAAGTGTGTTGCAGGACACTTGACATTATGCAACTCAAATGAAATTTGGTTGCACGTAAGTTTCAAGCAACTAAAGTTGCATCGTGACATTGTGATATCTCCAGCTGTACAAATCGGGCAGAGCAGCCTAAATGTTCAGTTTATGGGCCACATTCAAGGTAAAACGCAAAATGCGCAGCTCTTCCTCAAACACATGCATTTGAGGGAGGGCCACGCAAAAATGAGTGGAGATATTACACACACAGCTGATTACATATTCTGCTTGATTCACTGAAGTCTGAGCAGCTCACGGTGGCTGGTTTCGCTGCGATCCTTCTCCCCCTTTTAAGACTGGGTATACATTCCCAAAAGCCTCCCAGAAGAAGTGCTGTTGAGAGACTTACTTTAACAGCGGCAGACAAAATGTTCAGATGGAGGCACAAGCCTCGTACATGTGCTGAAAGAATGTTTACCATAAGAATAACACTGTTTAAACTCTCAGGACCAGATGGACAGATGTGAGAAGACGCAGGGTGTGATGTGGCCATAGTACATGCTCTATCATTTCATAAACTCTATTTTCTTTTTTGGGGGGGGGATTTCTTTCCCAATTTTCTCCCCAAGACTGACGTATTCAGTTCCACTAGTTAGGACTGCCCCAATCATACAATACAACCAGGGCTAGAAGGGCGAAGCCCAGCACAGGCTTCCTCTGAGACCTGTGAAGCGCCACTACATCTTCTCAAACTGCCGCTAACGCAGTGTCACTGGACAGCTGAACACGCTCGGAGGAAAGAGTCAACCACCAGTTCAGTCACGTCAGCTAACAGGCACCTGCGCTGGCTAGCATCGCCCTGGGTGATGGGGGAAGTGGGGGGGGCCATCATACCCACCCAGAGAAAGCAAGGCCAATAGTGCTCTCTTGGACTCCCAGCCACAGATGGCTGTAGCATCACCAGGGATCGAACTTGCGATGGGTGGGGCTACACACAGTCTGCGTGATAAGCTGCAGTGGAAGGAAATCAGCCTATTGTGGGCATATTGGCAGCCGCATTCTGTGCTACACCTGTGCTCCTACATACATCTGGCTCATTGTGGGTTCATGATTGACCTTCAGAATGAAGAAGATGAACTGGAAGAGTCGTGTCGTGCCTCAGAAACGAAAGCATTAGATTGTGCAGTTAATTGGGGTATCAATTATTTGACGTGAAAGAGCAAAGATCAGATGACCTTATCAGCCTTATTAGAATCAGACGCAGTGGAATACGCCTCAGGAATTAGAGGCATGCCTCTGAACTAGGAAGAAAGAAAAGTGGCCAGTTGTCTCAAACCATTCAGAACATTTTTGCATAAAGTAACCCCTCAAAGTCAATGTGAATGGGAAATCATGATGCATTTTCCTTCCGCACTGTGATGCATTTCAGTGTGAAATACAATATCAGGGAGGATCTCTGAGCTAAGTGAGCATTTTAGCTCAATAATTGGTGGGGGTCGAGGGAGGGGGAGGTGAAACGTGATATTATTTGTTAGGGATGTAACAATGCGACATGACATTGTGATATCGACATTGTGGAAATGGCCATTTTTTTACTGGGGGAACCCTACAGTTTAAACGCCTGTTTCTGGTGAATTTCACGATAATAGATACTTTAGAAATGGTGTTTCCACTCATTGATTATTATAATCAACCGAGAAATGCTTAACTCTAGTGCATTTCCTGCATTAAAAATAATAGGACCTTCCAAGAGCTGAACGCTTGACTGTTTTCTTTGCATCAGGAAATGTTTCTTCAGACAGATAAAGAATGTACTGTAGATGGTTCTACATATAACCTTTTTGAAAAGGGTTCTGTATAGCACCAAAAAGTGTTCCTCTATTGGTACAATATAAATACAATATCACACTTGTTACAATAGATGCAACCTACAGAACTTTTTTAAAAGGTTGTTGAAATAGGTTGTATCTATTGTAACAAGCTTGATATTGTAACAGTAGAACCCTTTCCTGATGCAAAAGCAACACACCACATTTATTACTGATTGTAGAGTTTCTTATAACTTGTAATAAGAACTATATTCTGCTCAGACAACATGTAACACTTAACATCCAGTGGTTCTCCATGGTCATTTGATTGGAAACCAAAATGTTGGAACTCTGAGTGGTTTCTTTGTTGTATTTTTCATATTCCCTTACATTTACTAAGAACCTACATTATAATAAAGTGTATACATGTGTAGTTAATTAGCTGGTGATGTTCTGTTTGTATAGTCTAGAATCAAGTGCAGTGTTTTCTATTGTATACATTTTTCAACTAACCATAGATTAGAATGATTGTACAAAGAGAATGGTTAACCCCTTAAATGACCAGGGCCAACCGGTAGGCCCAAAGATTTATTACATACTTGTATAATCTAAGAATAGCTCAGCCAGTTTGCACTGAAGTCCCTGTAGTCACTGAATAAGAAGCTTAGCATGTAATGAGCCTGGGATTTTAAGGGGTTAAATAAAGGCAAAGAAATAAAAACATTCACATGAAAGAGGACGATCATTTGCATAATAGCTGCACTTTTAAATTAAGCAATATTTGGCAATATCAGCTATCCACCCATGGTTATCGGGTACTATGCACTAGATGCTCGAGGATACTTTTGCTGTGGAGTATACTGTGCCATTCAGATTGATAGGCGCTTATTATTGATTCATTTTTTTATTTTTGATGTTTGATATGCGAAATTCCTATACATGCTTTTTTAAATTCGGAAGTGCAGTTTGTGCCACAAACTAATAAAACTGAATTTACCACGTTCACACTTTGTAGGATCATGTTGCTTACATATCAAATAAAAGCAACAATGGTAGGAATTTGGAAAAGACTGGATTAAACGGCACTTCTTTGCATCAGCTTATAGCAGTTAATGACTGAATATTGAGCCTTAAGAGGTATTTAGTGGAAGGTATTTATGTATTCCTAATTTTATTACATAGGAAGCTACCTAGTGCATTACTCTGTTTTACCATGTTTGATTTACATTCTGTATCCACAGGTTCAAGTCAACTTCCACCTGTTTCCTGTTTGCTTTCAAGGCAAAAACATGGCAAAAATATAATGTTTTTTTCTTTCTACAGAACAAGACTGTATACAACAATAACTTTCCATCAGAATAAAATACCTCCTACTAACAAACACTAATGCAGTACCCATTGAAAGTTTAGAATCAGCACTTTCCACAGAATATCTCTGCTTGTTTTAATAATGAGTGAGTTCTAATTGATATCAAATTACACCAAGCTTTTGTCACCAGCATCAACTCTTTAACTGTTAAAGCTGTTGCACTACTTTACCACTTTATTACAGAAGGTGAGAGTTGTTAGTATGTTCAAGTCAATACTTTGCATTGATTATGGAAAGTTTGCTTTCTGCTGTGTTGTTTGCAGAATCCGATGTGGCCAGTTTTGATGGAGCCGGCTACTTGCTCTTCAGGTCCGATCCGGCCCCCAGCCTGTCAGCCAAAGATCTGCTTACCATGAACTTCAAAAGCCTCCACCACTCTGGAATACTGGTTCATATGGAAGGTCAACATGGGCACACACTCACTTTGGAGTTACTCAAAGGGAAACTCTTCCTACATCTTAGAAAAGGTACTGTTAGCCATGATTCTTCACTTCTGTTTCTTACCACTCCTGAATAAATTCATTGATAACCCCATCAGCTGGGAGGTGCATTAGGAGGTCAGTTGATTTCGATAGGCTTTGGATAGCATGGCCCAGGGAGTGAATGGATGGATGGAAGCACTTTTGAGTGGTGTATTGATGTTGATGTTGTTTTGCCTAGAATCTGTGTTCAGAGGCTGATGTGGAACATTATCTGCTGTACTAATGGTGCTGGGCTGTGTCAGGGAGTTCAGCATTTGTGAAGATTGTATTTGTGTCTTTGTGTGTAATGCACACACATGCATGCACTCGGTGCTGCCAGCGTCTAGTTTAGTTTAAGATGTTAAATGTTTAAGGTAAAAGATTTTCCCAATTTTGGGGGAAAACCATACAGGAAGGTCTCTGATATGCATTTGAAGGCTACATACAAAACAAAGCCTGATATAACTAAAATAATAAAAAAAGTCAAAAAAGAACAGCACAATTACAAACAGGAGAAATTCCTGAGTTTAGGACCTACATAAGAAAAGGACCTTAAACCAACTGAGCTGCCAGTGATGAGTTTGCAATAAGCCTGTCTCAGCTGAGCTATGTGGTCTGGATGGAAGATCAGTTAAGATATGCTGGACTTTGTTAAAATATTAAAAGCTTTAAATGTCTCAAGGAGTTGAAATTAACAGGAAGCCAGTGTGAACTAAATGAGACCGGAGCGATGTGATCAGAATTTCTTTTCCTGGTAAGCTTGTGCTGCTGCATTCTGAACTAGCTGGAGCCGATTTAGAGAGACAGCAGGGCAACCAGTCAGTAACACAGGGCACTGGCAAAAATCCCATTTACCCTGCTGAGAAACTGCTGCGATCTTTGTTTAGAATTGCTTCATAATATTGAATTTCCAGTTCATAATGCCACACTGCCAAGCTGGACTGTGTTGTTAACCTTAACCCAGTCCCTAACTAGCAGGTTGGAAATGACAGTTTGACACCAAGGTATGGACTTGTTCACATGTTCAAACTGCATCTGAGCTATTCAAACAGAGTGACCTTTCAGGTCATACCTTTTTTTGTTTACATTTTCAAAGTGACGTCAGTAGGCCCCCTTTTCACAAGAAACGGAAGTGCGTAAGCGCTGGGTAAAACAGGTTCCGCTATTGCCTTTTGGACAGTTACTAACCTCAGAAATACAGGCGTTCAGCTCACCACAGAAAGGTGTGTCACTTTATCTTTGTCACAGTTGCCAAGATTGGAATTTGAGGATGTCAAGAATCAATGAAGAACACTAAATACACAACAATGCGGGAGTCTAAATAAAGGATATAATGGTTTGTGGAAAAACTCCTTTACAGATATCAGAGCACAGTAACATGAGCGGACATCTACAGAGTGATAAATGAATGGACAGGTGAAAATAACTACAGCCATTCTAGCTGGAAATGCTGAAACAGCTCGCTAATAATAAACATAATAAAAATAAGAAGTTAATGTGGCAAAAAGCTAAACACGTGCACATCATGGCAGGTGGGGGCGCGCCAGGTCGTCAGGGTCCGTAGTGCCACTGTAGACGTTTTCTTATTTGCATTTCTAAGCACTCGGCTGGTTTCCTGATACGTTTAATGTGCAGTGAGAAACTGTGAAACACTAAAAGTCATGAGGCTGAAGTCAGCTTCTTGTTCTAATTTTCCAGTTCCACCTTAGGCACCATTTAAGGTGGAACCAGCGAACGAACGTCTACTCTCTGCCGAGCACTCGCTCTCTCACTTGCTGATCATTTTTGAGGGAGAGAATGAACTGTTCCTCTGAGAAGTAGCTGTAGCAGCAAATTTAAAGCACAAACTGCATTCAGCATTTGTTTTACTCTCGCAAAGTGTATTCCGTTATTAATTGCACAAACCCGTTTTCCTCTGCTTATCTGACAAACCATTGAAACTGAGAAAAGGCTGTTTTTGCTTCAAGCTCTAATACTTGAGCAAGCTGTACATGCTCAACTCATCATTGTTGCTTTTGTAATTGCTTTAGCGGAAGCAGCGCTACCCTGCAACGAGTACTTCCAGCAGAAAAAAATGCGGAAATGTGAAAAGGGCCTATGTTAGGTGGGTGAGTTAACTACCCTAAACTAAAGAGAGAACAAACGCCACTCGCTCCTGGAGCTTTCAGTTCCATCTTCGCCATTGTCACAGGAGCCATTGTGAAGCTTCACTGAGTGACAGCTGGGCTCATCACCCAGAATGTGTTTGAGCTCATTGTAAAAAGGTCACAGTCACTTTTTTGGTTCGTGTCCTCGGATTCTTTAAACTTTGCTTTCAGACTTTTAACTGCACTTTGACGCTGCAGCCTCGCTCTCCTACGGCTGCGTTCAGCCATTTCTTTCTAAATCTCTTCAAACACGGAGGGGATTTGGATGAGTCTTTTGTAATTTTTTGTACAGGTATCAGCAGTGCTAAATTTAGACAAATGTGGAGTTGGATTGATGTAAACATTGCATTAATTCCGATCTGGCTGTTCAGACTGGGCCACATTGCCGCATATAGGATACGGATCAGATTTCAGCACCACATATGAAAGCGTCTCAAATCGGAATTGGAAATGTCAGATTCCATGTGTTTTTGCTGTTCACACTGCCACACAGATAACACATCTCATATAAGAATATAAGAAAAAGATTGGCTTTGGGCCACTTTCACCTGCTGTGTGAACGTAGCCATAGAGTTCATCTACTGAACTGGCACATTAAACTGTTTGACCAGTTAAACAATGCTGTAGCATTATAGATGTAATGATAATCTTCATGTTTATTACTATATAGCTTATTTTTAGCTATTGCTTATTACTTAGGGTAGCACAAAGGGCCATGTGTTTTTTTTTCTGTGGTGGTAATTTAGATTTTGGTGCACCGTATCTCAGTTTGTCAGAACACTCAGATTTACAGGCCACATTTAAGCCAATTAATCGATTATTAACCAGTTCATTCACATGAATAATCAACTATCTGAGTATTTGTAAGTTGCAGCTCTAGTCAAATGTGCACCCTGAATGTGATGCAGTTAAAGACTGGCCTGCATTATTTTACATTTCTCTCAAACACCACGAGTACACACAAGAAACACCTGTGATTCGTCAGGATGCTCACAACACAGACCAAACGTTTGTGATCGGTTAGAGATTTGCATATTGCAGCATCAGTACTGCACGGGCCAATACTGCAATAACGATTAAAAAGCAATATATTTTGCAGGGTTTTTGACGCGGCAGTAAGAGAGAAAAAAGCTTTCAGGTGCTGTCAGCCATCCAGGCTGTCGTAAGCATTGGCTTTCAGCTCAGCCTCTGAGAATGCCATCTGTGTGCGTGCGGCGCAGGAGCCACTGCCAGCCTCACGCAGCGTGAGCCCGTCCCCAGAAACGCTGGCTTTAGCTTGTTCTGGATCCGAAGCTAGCGTGCCATAATGGAGATGTATTCAGCAACGCGCTGTCCTTGGCACTGTTTATTCGCAATAACGAACAACTTGACAAAATATATGTAAATGGGTCAGCATGACACGCTTATAAAACCAGAAATCAAAATGAACAAATGTTCATTAGGACTCTTTAACCGGTTTAATGGACGCACCAAAACACATCCCTGTTTGCCAGGCAGAGCTGTGTTTTCCCAGTCTGCGGCATCATTTTGGTGATTTTTTGGCATGCTGTGGGCTATCATTCAACTCCAGACATGGAGATCCTGATAAACTGTAAAAAATAGGACCTGACTGATACATCAGTTGACTGGTATTGAGTGTCCCCAATTTCATCAATAGAGGTGAAAAAAGTCCTTTGGTAAAGGATATATTTAGTGGCTTGTTTTTTATTGTAACTGGCAGACAGCTGTAAGAAAACTCTTCACTTTCACAAAACGCTAGCAGGGATAAAATGACAAACACATGGAAAATAAAACCAGCCTTATAAATAAAGCCAACACAAAAACAATCTTTGTTTGAAAAAACTGGTGAAGAAAAGAAAAGTAACTAGGTCAGTTGTTCTGTTGTGTGCATTCAGTGTAGCCTGCACGGTGTGTAGTTTTCCAAATAAAGAGCTTCGTCTGGGTTGACTGCACTGTCATCTCTACAAGGTCATGTTATCTAAGCTAAAACAAGGTGAGTGACTGAAGAACAGAGCTAGAATTTTATGTTAGCAAAATGAGTGATTTAGGGCTGGAAAAGGCAAATATTTTGATAGTTGATATGTAAATTGGAAACTATATTTTCATCTTATTTCCACATTCACCCTGCACTTGTATCATTTTGTAGTAAGGTCCATGTTTATATATTGAAAGTAATAAATACATTCTGATGAAGCTTGTTTTGTCTGTGCATATATGACAAAATACACTTTTTAAACTGAAAAAAAAATCTCTAGTACAAATTTGAGCAAATAAAAGTAATGCAATAAATCATGATTAACCACAAAGAGTAAAGCAATTAATTGTGATTAACTACAGAGTAATGCAATTAATTGTGATTAACTACAGAGTAATGCAATTAATCGTGATTAACTACAAAGAGTAATGCGATTAATTGTGATTAACTACAAGGAGTAATACGATTAATTGCGATTAACTACAAAGAGTAAAGCTATTAATCGTGATTAACTACAGAGTAATGTGATTAACTGTGATTAACTACAAAGAGTAAAGCTATTAATCGTGATTAACTACAGAGTAATGTGATTAATCGTGATTAACTACAAAGAGTAAAGTCATTAATTAGGAATGTCGCTATTTCCTCTGTCCCACTGTCAGTGTCTGTTTCTTCCCCTGTGTTGTAGCCATGTGCTTTTTAGCCATGTGCTTGGTTGTGTTTTGGTTCCTTGCCCCACCCCTTTTCCCATCTTCTCTATTAGGATTCTCACCTGTTTATAGACCCTGTCTCCTCCCAGGTGTTCCTTACTGTTTGTAGCTACATGAAGCCCTTTGTTTCAGTCCATGGTTGTCTAGTCTACTCATTACTTTGTTACATGTAGT